CAGGGCTGGAGAGATGGCTCAGTGGTTAAGAGCACTGGCTGCTCTTTCAGAAGACCCAGGTTCAATTCCCAGCACCCACATGGCAGCTAACAGCTCCACCAGCTCCAACTCCCTCTTGTGACCTCTGCTGGCTTGCATGACATGAGTCCACTTACATACATGCAGGCAATACATTCATACACATAAACTACATCTTTGGATTGAGAATTTAAAGCACCTTTTCATATTATAGCTATTGTTTCACAGAGGGAACAGGTATGAAACTAACTTTTCATTTAATATATTCTTTTGTATTTTATTTGACATGCTCAGATACATCATCTATAAGATTTTGTTTTCATGTCTAGAATAAGAAATATAATTCCTTCAAGCATTCACCTGTTTTCCTTTATATAATCTTTTATACATTTTGTATTATTCATTTATGTGTCCTTTCTCAATTTATTTTGAAACAACTATCATGTCACAAAGAATAAAGAACATTAAACGTATTTAGTAACCGCTTCACTTTTCAAACAGCATACAAAATTCATTACCAGTTTATTTGTGCAGACTAAGACTCCTATTCTAGTGTTCCTTAACATAGTTCACATGAATATTTTGGGTATGAGTATGACAGAAAGAAAATTCAGTTTTAAACACCTGTTAGAAATTGCTTCCTTTCCAGTGTTCTCCTGAATGCATGTTTCACCTCCTTGTTCCTCAAGCTGTAGATGAGGGGGTTCAGCATGGGGATCACAATGGTATAAAATAGAGAAATCACTTTATTGATGTCCAGGGAAGAACTTGCATTAGGTCGAACATAGATGAAGAGAAGAGTCCCATACAGGATGGAGACGGCTGACAGGTGAGAGGAACAAGTGGAGAAAGCTTTCCTCCTCCCATCAGAAGTCTGGATTTTCAAGATGGCCGCTAGGATGCAGATGTACGAGATGATAATAATCAGACCACTGGGCATGCCTATCACACCAGCCAAGACAAAAAGCACCACCTTGTTAATCCGCATGTCAGCACATGCTAGGGAAAGCATTGGGGAAACATCACAGAAGAAGTGGTTGACAATATTTGGACCACAGAATGGTAAGCAAAAAGTCAAGGTTGTATGAGTTGTGATGTTTACAGCAGCTAGGACATAAGGCCCTACCACAAACTGCACACAGACCCTTTTTGACATAATGAGGGCATACAGCAAGGGCTTACAGATGGCTGTATAGCGATCATATGCCATTGCAGCCAGTAGGAAACAATCAATTGACACAAAGAGACCAAAGAACCACATCTGTGCTGCACAGCCCAAGAAAGAGATGGCTTTTTTATCTGCAAAGATATCATGTAGCATCTTAGGAGCTATAGAGGAAGAGGAGCAGACATCTACAAAGGACAAGTGGCTAAGAAAAAAGTACATAGGTGTGTGCAGCCTGGGATCCACCCATATGAGAGTGATCAAGCCCAAGTTACCCCCCAGGGTGACGAGATAAATAAAGAGAAACATGATGAAAAGGATAATCTTCTGGTGGAGATGATCCGTGAGCCCCAGGAAGAGAAACTCAGCAACTGCAGTCTGATTCTTTTCTTCCATTGGTCAGTTGGAATCTGTCAAAAGAATAAGAATTACGTATTACAAAAATTAACTATGAACAGCTACAAATGCCATTTGAAGTTAATGGCAGAAGTAGGCACATTGGAGACAATTGGCCGTTATTGTTGTACTAGCAAATGATACATAATTCTAGTTGCTAGATCTGGGAAGCTGCACAAAAATTCTATGTAACTTGAGCAACTCTCTCTTTGACTGTTTATGTTCTTCACACTCCCACCAAAATTTGGCTGACTATAGAACGTAAAACTCCCTCAGATTACAAAATTTTTTTCAAGTAAGAATTTTCATCTTACCATATAGACTGTATTATTTTATTATAATTGCTAACAGCTACAAATGATAGTTTAATTACATGGCCTTACCTTAAATGCTGTATAGCAGACAGTTTGACAATGTCATTGAACTGAAAAATAATGTGCTTAACTTTTATATCTGGATAGTTGTGCAAATATCTTGCCAAACCATGGCTAACTTATCCTTGAGCTCTTTGAATTTTGTAATGGAGCCCATCAAATATTGTCCAGTAATATGTTCGAAAATTTCTTCAAATTATAAAATAATGTTTTGAATGAGAATTGTTATGTTTACCAATAGAGTTATAATTCTTCATACTTTTAAAGTTCTGACCTCATGCCTTTAATCCCAGCACTTGAGAGGCAGAGGCAGGCAGATCTCTGAGTTCAAGGCCAAACTGGTCTACATAGTGAGTTCCAGGACAGCTGGGGCTATAGTAAGACCCTGTCTCAAAAAGACCAGAAAAGAGAGAGAGAGAGAGAGAGAGAGAGAGAGAGAGAGAATGGTCTTTGACAGATGCAATGTTAAAAGCAGAATTTAGAACCAAAAACAAAATGAAAATAAATTGCATGGGGAGTTGGGGTACAAATCTCTTGTACCTTCATAATTATGACAAAAGAATTGTGTCATCACGAAAGCGCATTAAAGTTCCTGCCTCTGAGATTAACAGATCTGACAAATATTGGCAAGAACTTGTAAAGGGGATTATATATAGGAAATCGAACAACTACTCAGTTAAAACAACAAAATTATGTAACATGATTCCCAATACTTTATACAAATTTCTTCTAAGGTACACATTTTGAAATCAAGTATACTAATATATGAAATGTCAAATGTATACTTTGCATTTATGAGTAATAATAAAAACTGTGTTCATATTCCATGTACAATGTAGGACTTTGAATATATACACACATACTGTGGAGTGATTAACTCAAGCTAATTAATTTATGTAAAATTCCACACATTCATTGTTCCCACATATGAAGGGAAATTTTTTAAAAAACATAAAAAATTGGCTGGAGAGATGGCTCAGCAGTTAAGAGCACTGACGGCTCTTTCAGAGGAAATTCCAAGCACCCACATGGTAGCTAACAACCATCCACAACTCCAGGTACAGGGGATTCAGTGTCTTCTTCTGACCTCTACAGGCATTGCACAACATAGATGCACTTGCACACATGCAGGCAATACACTCACACATAAAAATATTAAAAAACATAAATATACTTAAAAATCTCCTAGCAATTTTCAAGAAAACAATGCATTCTTATTTTTCCTAGCACCAAATTATGATAAATGAGTATGTATCCAGACATAACTACAGAAAGCAGGATAATGGAAAAGAACCAGGGAGGTAAAGGAAAAGAAAGAACCTGAAAGAAGAACAGTAGGAAATAGGAATTATTAAGGGAGATATGCTTAAAAACTGGGTTAGTTTAAAGGAAGGAGGGAAGGCTATACAAGGGACCTAGGGACTAAAGGGAAAGAAGGAGTTCAAGAGAGGTGGGACCGTAGAAGAAGGGTGTTATTAAGGGAGAAATGGGAAAAATGGAGGCACCTTAATTGAGGAAACCATAATGGAGGGGTTAGACAATGTGATAGATAAGTAATGCCTAGTTAGTTTTAAAAACCAGAGGGAACCATGTTAGTCCAACAACCTACTGACAAATTATCCATGCCAGATCAAGAAATATACATCCAGGCAAGGTTTATCTGAGAACAGTTGGCCCTTGCCCAAGTTTTATCTACACAGCACATGCTAATTAAAAGTATTAGACTGGTAGAACTAACCTTCTTAGATGTTTAACAGGCATACTTTGAGGCCTATACTGATTTTGTCAGAAGGACATAAAGGACAGTTTTTGCTCCTTGCCCTCCTAGATGGACTACTTCCAGGGGACTATGAGCATCTCTCAAAACGTCCTGTAACTGTAGTGAGTTACCTGTCCTCTTGATCAAGGAGGCCGTGGAGACCCCACCAGATGGACTTGAACCAGTGTCCAGTCTACAAAGAGGAGGGTCAACACAGAGGAATCACTTCCTCCATGCTTCCAAGCGAAGCCAACCAAGGTCGAGCAGGACCTTTGACTTATCTTCACATAGGTGGAACTGGTAAAAGAAAGGAGCCAGTGGCTCCTTCTAAGCCCATGTGACCCCTGAGGAACAGATCCTCAAATGGCCTTAAGAGCAAAAATAAATTGGTTTATCTGGGCCAACTGTATGGCCTTAAACACCCAAAAGGAAACTATAACCCAAGATTAAAGGGGCCAATATAATTTTTAAGACTCCATATATATAGCTAAAAGTTACATAACAAGCATCAATGCCAGACAGGAGATAATTCTTTTGAGTTGTTGGCTAGGGTGGCCCAAGGGACTCCCAAATAGTAACCTAGCATAGAACTGGGAAAATGAACAGCAGACTCCAATCTTATCTAAAGGAATATTGACAACCAATTGCTGCTAGATGAGGAATAGCTGACCTTCCTAAAACAAAGAACTCTAGATAGGCTGAATAGATTCACTGGATGGACAAGTACTGGGGAACAGCTGGGGATGCCGACACCACAGCAGACAGTAGCAGGGAAGGCAAAGTAAAAGGGCTCTGGGGGGGGGGCCTATGGGAGGATGCCATCTGGGAAATGGGTATATAGATGAATAAGATTGGGATGTTCAGTGTGTTATACACACACAAAAAAAACAAATCAACAAATTTTCAAAATGAGTTATATTTGAGGAGGAAGCATAAACATTTACATCAGGTTAATTAGTAGAGGTGATAAACATTACCACTGAAATTTACCCAATGACTTTATATCCATACACAGGTGCCAAGGATCTGAGTGCAACAAATCATGACCAGTAATATCAGATACATACAGATTAGAGATGCATGCTCCAACATCTAAGTGTTACTAGCAAAACCAATGAGTCTTTCTGTAAGAAACAGTATATTTTAAAATGAAATGGAGATCTTTTTTAAAGGTTAAAAATTCATTCAATTTTATGTCTTATGGGGTTTTTACTGAGTTCAATATTGTATAACCATATTAATTCAACTGTGAACCTAAAATTTTTATAGCCACTTTTGAAAGAGATGTATCTTTGCTCTGGAAATTGTTATTGAATATGGTAAAACTGTAATGAAATGCTTCTAAATAATATATAATAAATATAGAGACTGGAAAATTTTTTGATCTCTGCATTATTTTGCAAAACCCAGGCAATCAACTCAGAAAATGAGACATAGACCTGTGGTTTAGTCTCATGACAATGTGAACAAATGCCAAAGTCTGAGCCCTTCAGAGAGCCTGCAGTAGAACTTTTTGTTTCCAAAGTTCAAACTGATCCTGGTGTTTCTCCACTACATTTCAAACTCTTTCCATAGTCCAAAATGGAGTGTACTTACATTTTTAAGAATATACTTTCTGAATCTTCTTTATCTCAGCAAAGAGATATTTATTGTCACCAAGGATACATGAGGCTGAGGTTGGCCTTCAGGCTTATAAAATAATGTCTCTACGCTGCCTTAGGAAAACTGACAGAAGACCCAGTCTTTACCCTCAAGGAATAAATGGCTGCTGAGACTGATGGAAGGCTGACTGACATCCATGTGCTGCATAATTCCAGGCAGAGCACTGGGAGTCAGCAGAGGGCATCTTCTGACCATTTTCTAGAATGAAGGAAGAAGATTCAACATTCATTTGTGGTGGTGACCTTTCTGAGATGCATGACTTTCTCTGTACCTGGTGAAGAAGATGAATATCCTGTTGATGGACCTGGTCATGAAGAGAGTATACCTGCTCTGAGCATTGACTCAACACTACACAGAATAAGAGCTTACAATTATTCACAGCCAGATCCCCAAAGAACTTAAGTCTCAAGGGCTTATACCTGATGGGGTAAAATAAACATATCAGGAGCATTATGGCCAAGTATTATATTTAAATGCAGCTTATCTCAAAGAGAGAATTCCTAATGAAATTGTGCATGTATGTATGCAAACGCATATGCATGTGTGTGGGCATGTGTGCGTGTGTGTGTGTGTGTGTGTGTGTGTTCCTCTCTTGGGTCCTTTCTGTCATCAGAACCCTCTTCTTTCTTTTTTACCTGTATTGGTTTTAATTAGGGTATATTGATTGTATAAAAGTATTTTGTCATGACATTTCACCCATGGATGTAGGGTTCTTTGATCATATTTGATTCCTGTGTGACCATTTCTCCTGCATTCACTCCATACATCTTCTTCTCTTCCACACATCTTTTACTACCATGTCTCATTTTTCTGAGAACATACAATGAAATTATCAGACAGCCCCCTTTCCTACAGAATGAAGCTTGGATGAGAGTCTCTGTGTTCTGGATCCTCATTATTTACACATACAATCACAACTCCACAGGTACTGTGTCACTTTCAGCAAGTTCCTAAACCTCCCTGTGTCACATTGCTTTTTTCTCTAAAATAAAAAAGAAAGAGCTGGAGAGATGGCCTAGCAATTAAGAGGAAGTACTGTTTCTGCATAGGCTCAAAGTCCAGGTCCTGGCATACAGGCCATGCCATTTACAGCTGCCTGTTAACCCCAGTCCAGGTCCAGTGGATCCCAGGACCTCTTCCTGCCACCACAGGAACTTGCACTCACATACATATACACACACAAATACACATAACTGAAAAAACAA